AAAKACAGTGTCTGTCCCATGGTCACTGTCATGTAAATGTTAACTGTTTATATTACCTAAATATAAATATGTATTTACATACTTTTCAAAGGCTGAGTGACATTAATCATCCCGCAAGGTATTCCATGCCTCCAAGAGAAATATAGACATTAAAGAATTGGCATTTAGTGATAACGATTCTTCATGTTCCTGATCATAATGAATAAATAATGAAGCATTTCTCTGTCATAGTGCCTAATCTGACTCTAGATTTTGAAGTCAAAATAACTTTGTTCTGATATGAAGAAAACTTAAAATTTCCCCTTTCATCACCTAGTTAACTATGACATATTTGTTTGCCACAATACCTATATCCATTTAAGACTTTATAGTTTTTCAGAATTTAGTTTTGAATTACTATAATTTAATAATAATTCTGGTTAAGTTCATATAAAGTCACTTAATTCATTTATCTTTTCAGTTTGATTTCGTAACCCTCATCTCTTTCTAAACCCTTACAAAAACAAACAAACAAAAAGCCCTACATCCTTTCTATAAAGAGAAGCTGTTAGTCTCAAATTCTTAATTCTTAACCAGATTACACAGTTTGCACACATTTTGGCTTGTCTTAGTGTTTGTATTTCACCTGTCTTAGAAGTAGACAGACTCAACTTTCATTAGTTCTTAGAATAATACCTGCTGTCATGGATTAAGCATTTGGTAAGTCTCTTTCTCTGTATATACATACCGACAGTTGGGAGTGAGGGGAAATTAAAACACTTTTTTTTTTTCATTAGAGGAAAAAAAAGAAATAGTGCTTAATGCTTTTCATTGTAAGTGTGACATTAAGGTCCTGTGTTACTGATTTGCTATGACTTTGTATAGTTGTTTGCTTTTCACATTGAATCCATAAAGATTGTTTAATATTTTTTCAAAGTCTTTTATGCTTACACATGATGAATATGTCACTTCCTCAGAATTCATCAATCAAGATACCCTATATTATTATTATCATCATTATCAAAGTTAAATTATGTATTTTTAGAATGTATACATTCCTCTCCATCAAATAAAACAAAGCACTGACATCTGTATTGGTATATTTCAGAAATAACTTTGGTGTTAAACATCAGATTTCTTATGTATAAGTATGTGAAGTTGCTTTTTGTTAAACAAATTTATTAATTTTGTAGAGAAGCTCAATTTAACAATTAAGTAACAACCTGAACAATTGGAGCCCATGAAAGTAGAATAAATTCTAAACTTAATATTTATATATTCTTATACTTCTAAATTAAGACATGGCTATGCATAACCAAATCTCACCATTTCTAAGATTTTAATGTTTGTCTCCTAAAAAGTCAACCAAGAATGCAGTATACCCCTACTAAAATATTTACATATTTACCAAGTTTTCTTAGGTTTTATTCTTTTGGAAAATAGTGTTGATGAGTGCTTTCCTCTTGGGTAATACAGCTAACTAACAGAATTATTAATTGTGGGTGTGTTGCATCCTTTGCAGAAGTCATTTCTCATGTATGCCATGTAAAATGACGATGACATTTCTTTCTATTTGAAAGAAAGTCTTATGTGCTTATAATTTCCTCCTTGCATTTGGAATACTTGAGTCATGCCAAGGATTAATTTTGGTTTGAAATAGACAGAAAACGATTGAGTTAAAAATATAGAAGTGTATTCAGCTGCAATGAACCTACCCAACCTTAGAAGGAACACTTCTAAAATAAGTCAAGGATTAAAACTGCCACCAGTGGAACTGGAACTTGGGCAGCTGGTGACATAAACTTGTGTTAGCATTGGCATCACAAAGGGTGCAGTCCTGACACAAGAAGGAAGTGGGACCAGGTCTGGAACAATTTCTGTTATGTATTAGACACAAATAGTCTTTTCTTCAGTATCAGACAGGTATGCATTCCTGTTCCAGCAACTTTATCCCCTCATGCTGATCATGGATAAATCAAGATAATTTTTAAAAATTCCTTGCTTCATTTGGGTTTTCTTCATATCTTATTAAATCCTGTAGTGTGTGAATCTTATTCCTAACCTGTCCAACTTAGCTTTCTGACTTTTCCACAGAAAAAAACTTTATTTATATACACACGTTTGCGCGCACACACTCAAAATAGATGCAGCATGCAATGCTCTGAGGACATTGGAAAGATGTGGAGTCCCCATGCCCTGTTAAATAGGCCACAAAGCTGTTTTACAGATGTAGCCTCATGTGGTCTGTCTTCAGTTTCAAATTGAAGAGACATTTTTTTTTTTTCAGCAGTAGGGCAGCAAATATATGTGTTTAGAAAAGGAGACATTTGAGTATCTATAACTAAGCATGAAGTCACATAATTATCTAATTACTTTTGTTGAGATTGGCAGTAAAAACACTGGAGAAAGGTGGAGGTAGGGTGCTAGTAGCTGTTGGGCAGTAGTTCGAGAGAAAATAAGCACCATAACTGTTTTTAATAGTTTAAAAATAATGTTTATAAGAAATAGTTATATTTTTCATAAAGCCAAATATTAGCAAAAGAACTTCTGAGTTGTTTATTAATTCTCATTACACACTTGTAATTTACTTTTTTTTTTCATACTTAAAATTCAGGTCCATGGAATTGTACGGCGATCCAGTTCATTCAATACAGGTCGAATTGAACATCTATATAAGAACCCCCAGGCTCATATTGAAGGAAGTAAGTCATTTTCTTTTCTAAAACCTTTGTCTATAAACTTCCTATCTTCAGAGAAGATGTTGTCAAATGTCATTTTTCTCAGAGTCCATCTAGTCATAATTGTTTGCCCATGTATTACTGTATTGAATATGACCAGCATGTGCTGAAAACCTTCCTCGTTGCTTGCTGCCGTAGGCCATTGTATCATCTGGGTTTGACTGTTCGAGGGAAATTGGATAGGTGGCTCAGAGAGACCTATCCAATTGATCACCCCTCTCCAGGTTGTCCCTGTCCCTGCAAATAAAGAGTAGTTCTACATAGAAAGAACACTCTTTTGCTTTTTATATGTGGTCAGTTTACTCAAGTTAAACAATGTGTAGACATTTTAATTAATTTTTAAAATAATTTGTGAAGATAGATTCAAAACCTTGTGGCAATTAAAACTATATTTAAATTGCTTTACCGATTATTGTTAAGATTTATAGCTTTTTTTGTTGTCATTGTTAGTAAATTTGCCTGTGTTGTAGCTGCATGGTTTACACAGCACAATTACAGTGTTTTCTTACTTGTTCTTTATAGCAACTCCACAAGTTGTTAGAGAGACTATTTTGTACATGAGGAAATGGAGACAGAGGTGATTTTATCAAGGTCAAACACTACCAAGAAGACAGAGTGGGACTAGAACACAGAGCTCTAACTCCAAATTCAGCCTGCATTATTCAGTCAGTTTTTCTAGCTAGCAAGGGTGATACAGTCAATTTATAAATGATCAATGATTTTGTATTTACCTCCAAGTCTTGAATATTTGGAAGATTGGGTTACTTTTTCAGGTAGTAATCATCAAAAAGGTGATCCAGTTTGTCCACAGAAAAGACTTTTCACCTTATTGCTGAGTATGTTCTTCTTGAAAATTATTACAGGTATATTGAATATCCCTTTTCCCAAATGCTTAGGACCAGAAGATTTGGGTTTTGAATTTTTTCAGTTTTTGGAATACTTGCATATACATAATGATATAATTTGAGGATAAGACCCAAGTCTTAAAACAGAATTTATTTGTTTCACATATGTCTGCTAAACACAGACAAAGGTAATTTTATACAATATTTTAAATAATTTTGTGTATTAAACCAAGTTTCATGATGTGGAATTTTATACTTGTGGCATCCTGTCAGCACTTAAAATCATTTCAGATTTGGAGCATTTCAAATTTTGAGTTTTCTGATTAGAAATGCAGTAGGTTTGATCCTGAGCACCAAAATTAACAAACAAACAAACAAAATAAAGGTATTACAGGGGGAAAAAAAAGAAGCAGCAATAGACAAATGTTAAACATGGACCACCACAGGAACACAGGTAGAGAGATCAATATTTTGTAAAAATAATGAAATGATCAAATTACCCATCTATACATTTTAAATTCTTACACTAATGAAGTCAGTATAAGGATCAACTTAGATGTAGGAGTTGGAATAGGCTAGTTGTCCTAATCACAGTTATGTTACAGTGTCAGACTTTTCGTAGATAGCTTAAGGTCTGATGTTTATAATGTATTTATAAATCAGTAGATGAAAGTATATGAATAAGCATGACAAATATGAGCTATTGTTACTATCATCAGTATGTTATAGATGTGCTTAGAATGTATATACATTCTTACAAAATTTTATTTGCCTGAAAAATCACTCTTACATAACACATCTTCCAACTGCTTGGAGTTCTAAGATATATTAATTGTTTAACATCTGTTATTGTATAGTAATGTTTTAAAAAGTTCATCTGATTTTATCCCTATAAATCCTTCATAGATATAGGATATATATGCAAATATCTTTCTACTGTGTAGGTTCATCCTTTGTTTATTTTTATGATGCTGGAGACAAAACCCAGTACTGTGAATGCTAGGCAAGTACTCTATCACTGAGCTACATTCTTACCCCATAAGTTCTTTAAAGATGATAACTATATTCTGCTGCTCCAGGACAACATTTCCATTCTGACCCTGGTTTACAGACATTGTAAGTGCATGCATTTCAAGTCTGATATTTTCAAAAGTTGAGCTTTTATTGTTTTCTTTTATCTAATGGYCGGTTTTTGAATTCTAAAGACATGAAGTTGCACTATGGAGATCTTACTGATAGTACCTGCCTCGTGAAGATTATCAATGAAGTGAAGCCTACAGAGATTTACAACCTGGGAGCCCAGAGCCATGTCAAAGTAAGCCATTTTCATTATCATTTTCTCTCTAGCTGTGTTCCTGTGGTGGTCTATGTTTTACATTTGTCTGATGCTTCTACTTTATTTTTCTTTTTCCCTAATCCATCCTTCCTTCCTTCCCTCCCTCCCTCCCTCCCTGAGGATCAAACCCAGTGCATCATATGTCCTCGCTGAGCACTCCACCTACCACTGAGCTACAACTGCAGCCCCTGTCTGTTGCTTCTTAACTTAATAATCCACCTGTCCTAGTCTTCAAATTTAACCATCCATGTTAATTTGGTTATTGACCCTAAGGGAAATAGAGGTTTTCGAAGGTATGTTTTCTATTACTGAACAGCATAATATAATCTTACTGCTAACATTCAAATAGCAATATTCATTTATTTTGTTTTTCCCAGTAGTCATGACCCCGGCAAGGTTTGTTAACTGCCATTTCAGACCACATTTTGAATAAAATTTTGTTAAAATTTTGGAAGATTTAACTCAGTAAAACCTTAACTTTAATTTTTATTAGTGACTACTATAACTGGTTAAGAATATTTTTTGAATCTCAATTATATGTTAAAATTAGCTGAGTTAACTTTTTTATGGTAGGTGGTAAAAATCATTGGAAGAAAGCCTTTTAGCCTCTTCTTCCTCAGTGTGACACAGCTAATGTCTACTCAAATTCTTTGTTGTTCTACCTTCTTCTTTTTTGTTCTTTCTGGAGCCAATCACTGTAAACCAGAGAAGCGTCCCCCAGACTTCTCACCATCTGCTTCATTTAGGGTGTTGTATTTGTGTCCTACTATTCCTTTGGTGAGTGAAATTTGAACCCAGGATGATGTGAGTTCTATTTAATGAAACTTATTTAATTAGCATAGTTAGTGAAGCTTAAAAATAAAAGCAAATGACTTTTAATTTTAAACTTCACTCCCTGCAAAAAAAAAAGAAGGTCCAGAAAAATCTACCAGCATTTTTTGCTATTTAATGAACAAATTCAGCAATTTTATTTTGGGAAGTATTTAACATCTTTTGAAGTTTCTCCATGTCCTCAGCTTTTCAAAGAAAGAAGGCTATATGCCTATTTCCTGTAGCTCTTCTAGTTTAAGATGAAGGTATGAACTGAATCTCATAAAACATTGCAGTTGATAAGAGATTAAAAATTTGGTTGTCAATCCTCATAATAATTTTTTCTGTAAGAAAAATTGAAAAATGACCACATATCCATCATAAAGATACCTTTTAACTTCTGATCCATGCTGTTTAGGAAAAAAAAATTTCCCTTTCCTTTTTTATCCCTAGTGCTAGCCCACACTCTACCTGCATGCTCCACCTCCAGGTGCTTTTCCCTTTCTTAATATGTAATGATTCTGTTTGATGTCTAGGTTTAAAATTTGGTATTTGGAAAGGAATGGTATTTTAGGTATATTATTCTTGAGAGATTAATCTACCTCTTTGCTAAAAAGAAGCAGTAACTCTTAATCATTCCAGGAATGATGATCTTATTTTCCTTAATTGAGGCAGTCAATCTATCTTCCACAATATAATTCATCTGACTGTTTTTGACCTTCCTGACCAGCCATGAGAGTATCTTCCAGACAAAACAGAATGTTTTGGAACGAGCACTCTGTTATTCAATTTTCCCAAGATTAAGAAGTTTGCTTTGTGATTGTAGATAGGTTATCACCTCTGGAAGACATGAACTGGCATGGCAGAAGGATGTAGGACATTTTATAAAGGTTTATTTATAGAAGTCTTTCCCTCTGTCATTTTAGTGTATTAAATGAGCTAATCCTTTCCTTTCTCCAAAATGTATTTGTAGTTCAAAAAAAAATGTTCTATTTCCTTAGTTGTAGTGTGCATAGTATTTTTTAGTTATCATTCCAGTATAGTTATACTTAAGTAATATAGAGAAAAGTAGATTGAGTTGATTCCTTCTAAGTTGCCATGTATGTGAAATTTTCTGTTTTACCTTACTTTGACTACCTTCCTGATAGATCAATGATCCTCAGTTAAGAGTTTTGGTTTGTGAGATTATTTAATCCTTCAACAAAGATTTGTTAATGTATACCTAATATAAGGTAACTTACATGCTATACTAAGGACAAGAGATGTATAAATTCTACTTCTACTGTAGAGGTTTCAACATTAGTAGAGGTGATTTGCAGCAAGGACCACAGGCTGGCACAGAGTCTTCCAGTCTTTAGAGGAAGATGAGAAATAACTTTCATCTGAGGGGATATGGGTAGTGTCAAGGAGGAGCTGGTGCTGGCACTAATCTTAAAGTATAGGAGGGTATTTACATATACAGTGGGAAATGGGAAGTTGAAATGGAGGTTATAACATAAAGCCAAGAAAGCCAAGATGTCAAAAAAACCTCAAGCCACGTTTGGAGCATGATGAACATTCAAATGATCAGTTGAGCAGAAAGAATATGGAGGAGAACTGTGGGGCCAGGCTAAGGAGGAACAGGGGAGAAATATATTCAGATATGAATCTTAGGGATCAGAATCTAGAAGTAAGATGCAGAAGACACAGGAAACTTGTTGGATGTGGATGGCAGCATCAGAAATGGGGGCAGGAGGAAGGAACAGGATGTCCAGCAACACTGATTCTTCTTCTTACTCAATATAGTCACCAGGGAAGAGATCCCCCTGTGCTCAGGGGATCAGACAGTTGATGGGACCACTGTCAGGTGTTCTACTGGTAATACGTGRAGACCATGCAAAGGAAGCAGGTCATGAGATAGTTTTAAAAAGTTTTGAGGTTTGGGAGAGTTTGGGGGTGCAAGTATACATTCAGCACTCAGAGACCTTGAGATGCCAGGTAGCAGCTGGAGGGCAAAGAGTAAAGAGGGCAAAGAGTAAAGATTGAACCTCTAGGACTTTACTGTAGTTAGAGGAGAAAGGAGAATAGGGCTGATGGCAGGAAGAGGAGATGAGAAACAGTGGGAAGAGATGAGAGACTTCCTGGAAGTTGGAAGTCAGATCATTTCAAGCAGGAAAGGATAAATCTAGGGGAGAGAGGGCCAAGAAAAGGTCACTGGCCTTGTCAGTAAGGCTGGAGATGACTTTGGACTTTTATATTTGTGTGAGTGAGTGAGTGAGTGAGTGAGTGAGTGAGTGWGTGTGTGTGTGTGTGTGTGTGTGTGTGTGTTTCTGCGGATGGAACTCAAGGCATCACACATGCAAGACATGCATTCCACCACTAAGCTACATATCTGATGCCTGACTTATGACTTTTAAAAAAAAACATTTTGGTGATAGGATGGAATAAATTAGTGAGAACAGAGGAGGTTTAGAAGTTGACGGTTTATGAGGGAAATACAAACTGAGTGGTTTCTTTTCTCAGATTTCTTGGTAGAAAGACACGAGAATATACTAGATGACAGATATATCAGCATCCCCACAGGTTTCCAAGTCCCTTCCCAGAATCCTAAGTCTGTAGTGAGGTTTGAGAACTTGCATTTCTAGGAGATGTCCAGGTGATGCCTAACCCTCATCTGAGGACAATACTTTGAGAGCTGTTACTCTGGTGTTTCAGGTTTCTTGGTTTATCCATGTAGAGAATGTGTCTCAAATGCATTCTTCATTGACTTTCTTCTTTAATGTATGAGTTTTTGAGTTTGATAAAACATAGTTCTGTTACTCATCAGTTAATGCTATGGACTTTTAAAGCCCCAAACTCTATCTGCAATTAGGCATGGTGAGAATGGAAAGAGACTGAAGAGAATCTGATATACCTTTATGCTAAGGATCTTCACATTCATAAATCTTCCTTTTTCTAAACAGTACAGACAGTCCATGAGAATAAATACTTCTCAGTTACTTCTAACATTTTAAAGAAATAGTATGAGTACAAACTATGGTAGGCATGTCCTACAAAATCTCATGCTTCATACCTCTATTTCTGCTGTGATCTAAGATAGGTTGATTCTTAGTCACAGGGAGAGTGGGCATAGAGAATTGGGATCCTGATGAAGGCCTTTGGGTGCTGACTTTGCTCACCTGCCAGGCAGCTGGGACATGCTGCTCTGTCACTAGACCACTTTAGGCTCTGTCTGTTTTCATAGTAGCTTGTTTTGGGATTCTATTGGAAAATACATATTTTATTTTTTTCAGTTAATTTAAGTATTACTCACCTTTGCAGAATTTATTGTACTTCCTATACTTTTTTTTTAAATGAATAAGTTCTTTCTGACCATGGAATGCTTGCAATAGATTAAATAAAACAAATGTCGTATTGTTTGGTGCTCTTTTGAAAGAGGTTTCTAATATTAGCACATTTTGTATTTAATTCTGAATCTATGACTTTTAGACTGTTTGTTTTGGCTTCTCTTTGTGTGGAATAAAGTCTTCTATCACTCTCACTTCCAGTTAATTTGATGTGGGCTATGGTATACTAAAAGTAAGGAAAATAAAATAATAGGAAGTTGGTCTGGTTTCCTGTAGGAAACCAATGAAGATGAAATTGGTTCTTGGAATAAGCCCACAGCAGTCTGGGAAATACTGACTGAAGACATTTTTCTGAATCATAAACAGAAAAATTATGACTCATGAAGTAGGTCATTGAAAGACTGATTTGATCTTATGTGGGAGAAAGTGAGGGATGACTGAAATGTACTAGTTATTAAAAGTAGTTAAACCTAGCATGATGACATCATCCAAGTAGGAACAAATTATCCAATATGTGGACCTGCCCATTTTGATGGAAAAAAAAGTTTTAGGAACCTGCTTTTTTGAGATTAATGGGGTATTTTTCCTGTGTAAATAATAGTGTTTCTAGGCTGTGTTCAGCATTCCTTGCTGTCATGCCTTTGGATTTGTCCACTGTTTCTTGCAGCTTCTTTGATAACCTCACTTCACTTTTGAAGTCATAGTGTTGGACGAGCTCCGGTGAACCTAGTCCAGTATTATTTCCTTTCATCTCACAATGTCATGTTAGAATTACCTTTTTTTTTCAAAAAATTAAAACATGGAATGTTAGAGCTAGAAGTAACTTTAGAAATAATTTAATAT